TTTTTAATAATTCTAAGTTAAAATGGAGCATTCTTTGGCTTCCTTGGGACCAAAATTACTATCAGACATGTCACAGTTGAAGAATGTGGCCACACATGTGATCCCTGGTCAATCAGAATTTTATGGTTGCCAGAGGATCTGTGCATAGCCATGGCATGAGGGCGCTGCACCCCTTTTCCCTAGTTTAAACAAATCCCTGCGTGTTCTTTATATTGATTTTTTCAGCTCATTTGGTAATAAATTGGCATCTGGCAGTGCATATTTGAAATTTGTGTAAACAAACTACTGTAAAATATTTATTTTCCGCTTGGAATTTATTTTCGCTATTTTCACAGAAGGCCTGATTCAGTGAAAAATAAAATCCAGCGAATATACCCTTTTTCCTATATTTCACATTCAACTTGTCAAAAATCAGTGAAAATAAATTCCATACAAAACACCCAAAAAGCCTTTTCAGCGAAAATTATTTTTATTTTTTACATTTTACAGTTTATGTATTTTACTTACAATGTGTACGTAATATTGGACCCATATTGAATATCAGGAACAACTTTGGTACTTTACACTGTTTACATTATTTTCAGGATCAGACTCAGGTTAGATTCAGTAAAAATAAAAGTATCTGCCAAAAGAAAATTATCAATCTATCAATAGATTGAATAGCTTGTTGGCATTTATAATCTATCTGAAATCTAGAGTACCTGTCCTAAAGACAGCTAAACAGATGGCTGATCTAAAGCTTCGATCTAACTTCTTCTGAAATCACATATTGCTGTGGTTCAACTTATTTTATATGTATGCCTAAAAACATAAATTATATGACCAGCTTTTATTTGTGGCAACCACATGACTGTGTTCTTCACACATGGTTTTGATTAGACGGTTCACCTATTTACTTAATGTGCCATAATTTTTTAGAAATTCAAATAATGAAACAAAGCATCTTCTGTTATGATAATGGTATGCAGATTGGGTCTATTGTACAATGTCATTTTAAAGGATGTAGTAGACGTTTTTTTTCTTTGAAAATATAAAATTTACTTTTTCCCCACATTCTCTTATACAAATATATAAAGCATGCATTCAAAAACAATTACAGCGATGGTTTAAGAGGGTTTTAGTACATTTTGAGTGAATCTGAGATACAGTGTGCTTTATGTGATGTGAATAGTGGTTTTATATAGTCAATATAATATTGTAGTGTATAACTGTAACCTACATCTTTATTTACATCTGACCAACTACCTATACATATCACTTATCACATATCAAGTATTTCGTTATTATTTAGGTGTGTATTTTAGCACCACATTTGTCATACAATGCATGTTCGAATTTTTCAAACAACCAATGTATTTTACATGTGTTATTTTTTTTTGTTTAGTATATAGCATGTGACCATGATTTAATTTAGCAGATTTGTGTAAAACTTCAGACTTACTAACTTTTGTTTTTGTTTATAATCTTATAATCCATCATAATTTAATAATAAGCTTATAATCCATTATAATTTTCTTCCCAGGTCTGGAAATATATGGCATATTTTATCTTGTACATTCTCAACCGTCACCAGAAAATGTTCTTAGGAAGTGCAGAAAGTTGATTCCAGTGGATACAAAGGTAAGAAAATAATTTAAATCTAAATAAATAGTTTAACAAATTTCTTGTGAGAGACTGACTTTTTTACTGTGACCAATTTAACATATTGAGTCAGGAAAAAAAAGACTGTAAGTATATACAGTATTTGCTCTATTAATAATACATGCACTCAGATAAATCAAAGAGGTGTGTCTGTGGTAAAAATAAATCATATTTCAATGATCCACAATATAATACATTGTATATACAATTTTTCTATGCTCTTCTATTGGATATGTACTTTTAATAAAGCAAATATGGTAATGCTATTTTTCTAACTCGTGAAATTATGGTACATCTCTTTATCTTTTCAAGGATCTTC